TCGGGTCAGATGATTGACCAAACCAGGGGGGGGAAATTTTAAAAACAAGTTTTTGTACCCCCCTACTGACAGCGAAAAAAATTTTACCCCCCGGGGGAGCGTGATACCCTTAAATGAAATGATTTTGGGCTAATGTGGGAGGAGCTTTGAAAAATTTAAAAAGGGGCTAAAACTCTAGTCTGGTAAATGAACCTGCCCGCCATGCCACTGTTGGCTTCCTCTTGAACAAATTTTTGGCATCGTGGTATCCTTTTCCGGGAAAGATGAAATTAGTTCAAACTATTTTTTTGGATAGAAATCAAAACTGTTTTCCCAAATGTGTTTTAAATTTTTGTATACTCCTAGGCGGCTTTTCTCATTTCGTGGGGAATGTCCATTGCTTTTTCCTTTTGATTGTCATTTGTTTTCCGTGTACATTGTTTCATGTTGTAAAACCTAAAGTGTTGTGGCCATTGAAAATTTAATGACTATCATGTTTTTTGAAATCACAAGCGTGAAGATAAAACTTGGCAATCGTTTCACGTCGTGGTTTACTGTGAATCTGTATTACATACAGCAACACACTGAAATGTGTTTTAACTCATCGGAGAGGCTAATGCGCGAGATGATCCCGGAGAGAAAATCTTGAGATTTGGTATTGGTATTCGCCTCAGAAATATTGTTAGCTTTCTTTCGGGCGCGTGAGATTGTTCCAAGCCATAGATATTCCAGAACTGGTTCTGTCTGAATGATTGTCATTTGAGTCTGTACGAGAGATGGCACCTGACGTAGAAGACTTGACTACATTACAGGACGTGTAGAGGAAGGCAGAAGTATGTAACAGTTTGGAATGTGAAACTAAGCCCTTCCAAATTGGACAGGAGTGAATGTGAGCATGAGGGAGAGATGAAATGTTTATTTAAATAAAATGCTCTGATGTTAGTAAATATACATGCTAGTGTTACATCTAGCAGCAGATACAACAAATTTGCGCTGTGTTTGTCTTCATCTCCAGTTTCCCACATTGGGCAGGACTACGTTAGGCATCCATTATTTGCCGACCGTCGAGTGTAACGACCTGCAGAAAGCAGGTGAGGACGACAAACTGGAACGAGAGGCAGTGTCTAAAGCCGAGAACTGTCCCCCTGACGGGTGAAAGTCGCCTACGAAGAGTGTAAGTCTAGGTACCCAACTTGGCATCAGATCACATCATTCCAACTCTACATAGCCCTAAACAAGTTCATTTTAATTTCGATTTATTCAAAGAAATCATTGTTGATGTTTTAAAAACTATTGAGTAAAATGGGTTGTACTTAGGTTCAAGTGTCCTTGTGCATATGATTGTTACTTCAAGCTAACAAATAGTGCAAATCACTTGATGGGGCCGGTGAAGTAATGCCAAGAGAAGAAGAATTCGTCGCAGGGGGTTAACTGTGTATCGAGATAATATCACAGTTGGTGTAACCTCATATCTATTCTAATCCCCTTCTCCTTACTCCTGTGGATACCAGTACAAGCAACTTCATTGCATTGGAAACGAGCCACGCGTTGTTTTTCCTGGCTATCCAGGACTAAGTCTAAGATCAACATAGGCTTAGATAATAGTCCAGTTTCTCACGTGGGGTGGGCCATTTGGTAGGTTCCAACCCACCACCCTCACTAGATCATTGTATTTAAGTTTACTCCACGTGGCTCCGCGACATAAAGAGCATGCAAAAAACCTTGTGTCCTCCCCGTCAAGAGCAAGAACAGGCAAAGTCAACAACAACCTTGTGTCTCCATCAATAGCAAGAAGCAGTCAAAGAAACGAAGAGAAGTGCAACAACCTTGTGTCTCCGTCAATAGCAACAAGCAGTCAAAGGAAACGAAGAGAAAGTGCAACAAACCTTGTGTCTCCGTCAGTTCAATAGCAAGAAGTGCAACAAACCTTGTGTCTCCAGTCAATAGAAACAAGAAACAAGCAAGAACGAAGAGAAAGTGCAACAACCTTGTGTCTCCATCAATAGCAAGAAGCAGTCAAAGGAAACGAAGAGAAAGTGCAACAACCTTGTGTCTCCATCAATAGCAAGAAGCAGTCAAAGGAAACGAAGAGAAAGTGCAACAACCTTGTGTCTCCATCAATAGCAAGAAGCAGTCAAAGGAAACCAAGAGAAAGTGCAACAACCTTGTGTCTCAGTCAATAGCAAGAAGCAGTCAAAGGAAACCAAGAGAAAGTGCAACAACCTTGTGTCTCAGTCAATAGCAAGAAGCAGTCAAAGGAAACGAAGAGAAAGTGCAACAACCTTGTGTCTCCATCAATAGCAAGAAGCAGTCAAAGGAA